GGAAGAAGATATTTATTCAGTGCAAATATAATTTCTAATGGCTTTTCTGTCTGTTGCTGGTCCAGACTCTGAAAATCCAGAGAATTTCTGGACAATTTACTGTTATGATTTGTGTATCTTGAAGTAAATAAATGCCAAATGTCTTGCAGGACTAATATGATCTTTTTCTTTCTTTCTTTTTTTTTTTTTTTTTCTGCCTTGGTTTGTATCCTACTTTTTTCTAAATAACTCTTTACATCAAAAATTCCTAAAGATGATTAAGGTATATGTCTAGCAGTGCGGCAATACCACCTTAATCATGTTCACTGGACAGGCATCAAAAAGAAAAAAATCAAATCCTAGAAAGTGCTAAGAGGAATCATAAATTACTTTTCTGTGTGCAAGATTAAAACTTTGCACTTTAGGAGACTCCAATGCTAGAATAAACTATGAATCATCTCATTTAGGAAGAATTTAAATTCCTTACTTGTACTAACATAAGTCAACTACAAATGTTCAGCACTGGTAATTAAATAATCAGATCTAGGAAGTAAAGACAAAGTATCTCTAGGCTTTTTATTTTCAAATCAGGTTTGTTTAAAAACATGGTCAAATCAGGGAACATTTGATGAATGCCCAGAGAAAGATATTTGGCAATAGTGGAGTGGACAAAAGTATATATATTTATGTGAAATGACATTTATAAGGTCTCTCCATAGGGTAATAATAATTTCACATTACAGATATTTTAATTACATTTATAAGTGATTATATGTAGCTTACGAATGATTATGTCTCATGAATCCATGTATTTTATTAGGTGGATTTTGATTAAGTTCTCATTCAGTGGAAACAAAACAAAACTTCCATAATTAGACTACCTTTAAAATTTGTACCTAATTATATTAGCATCAAATTATGTATTTACAGCAGTAAACTGCTGCTAAACTATCATTGTTAATTGAACTAAGCTTAATGATTAGCAATTAGTCTCTGAGGAGGAAAAATACACATAACATAATTAAAGTTCTTTGAGGGCATTTAAACTTTAAGCCAAGAGCATGGCAAAATGAGATAGGCTCTACTGAAAAAAGGAGGGTAGCACACTTCAACCCAGGGACATTTTAAAGAGAGGTGGTAGGACATTTCATTCCAATACAGAAATAAAAACAAACAGCACCACTACCTGGGATTTGCCTTCATTCTCCCATGCTGAGCCTTCACTTCAAGAACACAGAAATCTCTTTCAACTGCCTTCTCCTGACTAGTCTCTGTGGGAAAACTCTGTAGTAAACCCTAATAACCTAAGACAGTTAGCCCTGTCCCCCTGGACTCAACCACAGTGTGCCTAATCTGATTTCCTAAATATAAGCACAGAACTGGACAAAAATAGCATGTACTAAAAGCAGAAAAATAAAGTCAGGAGAAGACAATCTTTCAAATTCTGTTCACATCATACTTATTATATATATAACATTTCTTTTCAAAGACAACTCACCAACATACTGCTAAATTGGCATAAAAATGGAGAACAGACACTACATCTCACTATTATTTCTCCATATGATTTCTATTATTCATCTTTGCAGATGAACAAAAACATTGGGTTAAATATGATCACACAAGTATTCCTTCTATTATGGTGGGGTAATTTTCAAACCAGATTTTGAAATAACAAGTTTCAGAACTCAGGAGATTTCAAACTTAAGCAAATGTGAAATCCTGTTTCTTCCTCTGATACAATTTATTATGTTCATATAATAATGGCTAAATTTTCATTAATTAGCTTGGAAATTAATGGACTATTACACATACCAAAATGCCCATTCTGCTTAAAAAAAAAAAAAGTTTCTTTGAAAATTAGTTTGCTATAACTGAGTTAAATGCTTAGTGTTTTAATAAACTGATGTTAGTATATTTGGTGAGCATATGTAGGACAACCATGAGTTTATTTTTACTTGTACAAACTGTGCTAATCTGTAACAGGACATAATGAATATAACATTTATGAAAGCTATGTTCATATGGTCTTGTTATATTTATCGTTACAGTAAGATTAGACCCCTTATAACTAAACATGAACTCTTCCAAGTGAAAACTGAACACTGTAGCTAAATGTATTACCAACTATCTCTGGGAAAAGCAACTGTTAATGACATAGTACAATTGAGATTTCTCTTTTCCTTCTGCAAACCTAATGACAACTTTCAGAGGCGGTTTTATTAAAACATCCCTGGCACCATTAGCAACAGCAATTTATAAGTCTTACATATGAAAGAGAAGATAAAACATATTTTCTGCTAAGGGAAGTCTGGTATGCCTGCTAATTGAGAAGCTGGTGTAACTATTCCACGTTCATATCCTTCTTACTCCCTCATTCCTGCAGTTCTGCTCATTTAGTCTCAGGTATTGGAAAGGACTCAGAATGAAACGTTTTGGTCATTCTGAGTATGATACTGAACTAATGCTTAATCCTTGCACAGTTAATTATTCTGTGTTCCTGGTTTGCTCATGTACTGTGCATAGCCAAATGAACCACTAATGTACTTAAGGTGAGGTGAGCAGTTCAGTGGTGGGTGGGGTGGAAGTGCTTACACTCTTACCACATATCACGTTTAATAACCAATTTCAAAGTTTTCTAGTTTACTACTTGCATTTACACTAGTTGTGCAACCTTTTAGGCATCAAAATAAAAATTCTCTACTGTACTACTGCTCAGAAGAAGTTAACAAGGAATACGAACAAAACTTCAGTTATGCTTATAACAGTTTATGAGTAACTATTTAACAGTAATGCAGAAGTATAACTTTCATGGACATATCAAGAACTAAGCTTCCAGGCCACCAAAATTCTCTTGATTTGAACAGCAATGTTCCAAAATAATATTTAACTTCATTGCTTCTAAGTCAATGACTTATTGTACATTCCACTTCAATCTCATTAATACGAAATTCTTTCAATATAATCTCTTTTCTTCTATAGTGGTAACTGTAAATGGCAGAAACAACTAGGTACAAAATTTTGCTTTGAAGACTGCAAAACTTTCTCTGTGTGGAGAGTTGGCACTGTGTTCAGAAAGCTATACAGGGAAACCTGCCTGTCCTATATGCACACTACGCAAGGAGTAGGCAATGGGAGATGACTTGGCAGACCCTGTTGCAAAGCATATCCTAATATTTCTCTCATGTAAGAAAGCAGTCAGGGTCTTGTAATTTAGAATGCCATTAAGAACCGTAAGGGAACTGAAAGCTTCAAGAAGCACCTTTACCCGTAGGAAAGAACTTTGTTTTCCTTGTCTTTTCTTCAAAAAACAGGGGATTAAAAGAAAATTTCCACCTTGCATAACTTCGCCAGGGAAAATTGGAGGCATTCAACACATATGGGATTTTGGTCTGTGATTTGCTGAAACCTCTCTTCTCAGAATCTCCTTTTGGGATTCTAATGAAAAGTAATTTCTCTACTTTTGCCTCTTCTCTCACATCTGCAGAATGGTAAGAGTAATGCTTATTTTCCCTACAGGGGGACTGACTTGCACTAGAAAAAACCTGATCCTTCTTTCATGAGAAAAAGTGTGTATAAATCAGCTAGCTAAACAGTAAAACCAAGTGGCTATGGTCAGTGTTTTCTCACTAAAAGCAATCCTTTCCTTGTATCAAACAAGGATACTGGTGATCCCATTCTGGTTGAGAATGTATTCAGGATACTGTTCAAGTGACAGCACTTAAGCTGCATTTGAACAATGTGCTTCTAATATTGTGACTCTTTTGAGAATATATACAGAATGGTCAAAGAACAGGAAACTGCTGTCTAGTTTTTGGAATTTGCGAAATTAGTACACCAAACATTACTCCTTAATATCCCCTTCCTTGTTTAACCCAGCATCCAAAATAGACACAGGTGTCTGTTTAGTTTTTCACCTTATACCTTGTATAGTTGCTTACTAACACACTCTGATTAGATTGTGTATTACGGTCACTTTGTCTTGTGGAAACGGATAGTGCAGTGGACAGCGTGGCAGTGCACTGAGCACTATAACCTTTGGCCATATTCCCAACTTTTAACTGCAGCAGTTAGACTGTTGCACTCCTGCTGTTCTCAAGCATTCTGCCTCACCGCCAAGCAAGACACACAGGTTCCAGTCATCACCACCATGGGATGAAGATTCAGTTTCTTGACAGCAGGTGTCAGGGTTCATCAGCTACAACTGAAATGTTCATGTCCTTGAGGGAATTCCAGCAGACTCCATGAGAGCCCTCAGTTTTTAGGTTGTGAGCAGCACAAGCAGCACTAGAAACATTTTGCCTGAGATAAAACTGCTCTCTTCTGAAGTACTTGTTGGCTCAACTGGGGCCAGGAATTATCAATCAGATGAGTTTCTGAATAAGGATCTGCTCTCCCAAGTCCTTCATCAAATAAGAAACTATTCCATCCAGTTTCATGTAGACAGTATGTAAAGCAAAATAACTCCTATTTCTTCATGTATGCTCTTAACTAAAAGCTGTTCTTAATTGCATTATAACCCACAATAGTGAAACCAAGATTTTATTTCAAATGTAAAATAATTCTGTTTGAGTTCTTCAGCTGCTTCTCCTCATCTAATATGGAAAGAGTTTTCTCTTTAATTGTGTCTCTCTGCCTTCAAGAATGTTGAGCAGGCTTTAAAACATCTGCTATTTCCAGCTTGCCACTTAACAAGTTCTGGTTTGGAATAATTTTCTCTTTGGCTTATTTTTCGCTCTTGTTACTTGAGATTATGAGTGTAAAAAAGTAAGGAGGGCCACAAAGTCTGAAGGCCAAATGTGGGGAAACCAATCTAAAGTGCTCTGTGTAGAAATCTGTATGTATTTTTTGCTTTGCCTTTTAACAGAAAGCTAGAAATTACAGAAACTGGAGATAGATTGCTATAATTTCAGTATTACTTAGTCACAAACTTTAAGTAACATATACTGTAATACACGGCCCCACACCATACCCAAATAACTCTCCATAGACTTTTCCCCAGAGGAGGTGTGAGTACTTACTGAGGCACAGTTGCTTTCTGACTTGTCTTCCAGAAAGCCAATTTGGCATGGTGTCCTCTGATTCTGCAGCCAGTAGTCTGTTGATTCTAGCAGACTGTTACTGCAGAGAATCTGTTAAAATAGTTAAAAATAGTTAAAATAATTTTAAAAATTATTCATTTCTACTTTGTTTTGGGGCCCTGAACTCTACTGTTGTAACTCAAAGGAAATTTGCCTACAGAATTTTGGGGGGGGCAAGACTGGGACTCCTGTTCCTTTTGGACATGTACAGTTAATGCACCTTAAATAAAGTGATTTATGTATCCCCTAAAGCATCAGCCTATTTTCTTTCAGAACTGAAAGTCATTGGACATACTTGAAGGAGCTGCCTAAACCAAATATTTTAATTGGAAAACACTGCTAGGAGTTTTGTTCTGTTTTAAAGTGATAAACATAGATGCTGGGAAAACTAATTATTTAACTATACCAGAGTGTGCAAACTTGCACCTTTATGATTTTCTATGTCTCTTTCCATGGTAGATCAGTAGTGTCCATTCTACCAGCAGCCTCCTTCCTGGTGCTGCCTATGCTACAAACTCTTTATTTTTCTCCTTTGTGAGGAGCTAAAGTACTTAAAGCCTGCTGTAATGAGTACTGAGCAAGACAGCTTGCATTTAATCTCTCTGTATTGACTCAGTCTTATGGCTTATGCCACAAGCTTTGCTCAAACAACACCAAAATGGGCTTACAGGTATCTGTGGACTCTAAAAAGGGAAAGCCAGTTTTGCAAGTCTGTTGTTTAGACTGAACTGAATTTCTTACTTGCTGACTCTGTACTAACTGTCTTTCATCAAAAAGTGTGACTCTTAGTATTTTTAAAACAACTAGGTAACAACAGGTAAACAAGAGCTGTAACAATGATGCTACTCATAGAACATTTCATGTGCCTTATTGTCATCTTCAGGCAGCAAAGTTAAGAATTATGTTTGTGAGATGGATGTATATGTTATTTGTCCTTCTTGCAGTTCTTGTATTGCATGGAAATAGGCTGTACTCTAGCTCTTTAGACTTTAATTTTAATAATGTTATTTTAAAATATGAATTAGTTGCTCTACCTGAAAAAAAATAAATTTGTGCTCAGTACTTTTCTTTATATTGCTGCACATTTTGCTTCGACATGCGTTTGTCCTACTCCAGAGCACTTGACTCATAAGCCTTGATCCATTCTTCAGAGAAGTGAGAACTTGCGAGGCCTCTTCATTTCTCAGGGAAGATAAATGACTGTGGAAAGCTGATCAAGCCAGTTGACACAATTTTCTAATACTCAGGAGCAATCCAGAAGTTAGCTTATTGCCACCCTCAGTCTAACACCCACTCCAATTTTTATCTTTCTGACAGCAAGCCAGTTAGATAATTAATACTGCACTCTCTGTGTTATTCTATATTGATTTCTGAATTAAAGTCAGCAGAGGATGGATAAGGAGGTAATGGGGAACAGTACAGTCTGTAAGCTTGGCCTGCTTCAGTACCCTTCTTCAGTGCCCTCCACCATGTTCCTTGGTACTCCAGCCTTGCTATGGGATTTCTTCTAAAGGGCCTCTGATTATAAATTTAGGGTTCATAAAGTACTCAGAAGAAGTACTGTTCCCAAAGACTTTGTTCTGAGAATGACAAAGGATATCAACACCAGTCTCTTCTGAGAGACTGCTAGCTAATCTTGTTTACCAGTTAAATGACTCTGCACTCAATAAATTTTATAACCTCCTGTCTCAGTGCAAAAAGATTCCTGCCACAATAACTAACTCTAATGTGGAAAATAATATATCTCATATCCCAAAGAAACAATTTTCTATTAGTGTTACAAATGATATATATCCTTTTCTTTTCTTTTCTTTCCTTTTTTTTTTGTTTGTTTTTGTTTAAGGAGTGTTTTCAAATGTGGAAATACTGAGCCCTTGCAAGCTGGTTTGTAAAGTCTTAGAATCAAACATTTTTTTCCAAAAATTATCATAAAAATTACAATCCTCTGGCAATTCTTTATGGGTTTTCTTTTTTTAACTATGGGTTTTTCATAAAAACCTGGATTTTTTAGGAAGACATGCTCTGGGGAGACTTTAGAGCAGTCTTCCAGTACCTAAAGGGGGCCTACAGGAAATCTGGAGAGGGGTTTTTTACAAGGGTGTGTAGTGACAGGACAAGGGGAATGGCTTTACACTGAAAAAGGGTAGATTTAGACTAGATGTTAGGAAGAAGTTCTTTACTGTGAGAGTGGTGAAGCAATGGAACAGGCTGTTGGTGCTCCATCCATAGAAATGTTCAAGGCCAGGCTGGATGGGGCTTTTACCAACTTGGTCTAGTGGAAGGGGTATTGGAACTAGATGATTTTTAAGGAGTCTTCCAGCCCAAACTATTCTATGATATACCTACACATCTGATTTCAGATTTAATCTGATTCTAGATCTTCTCATCCTAAAGGGTTGAAGTTCTAATTACCTGCTAAAACATAATTTTACATACATAGGAAATAGTTCTCTTTAGCTCAAATAGCTTTTGCTGTTACAAGCAGTCTTGTTTCACTTCCTTAAAAATCAGAGTGCGTTTGTCTTTAGTCTTAATCACTTTAGATTTTTCTTTCCCAAATCTCAGTCAGTTTCTGAGAAACCAGAAATTATCATGTAGACACAAACTTCCTGTCTCATAAGGACTTGCTGCACACACCCAGTATTTCAGAATAGCGAGATCATAGCAGATGTATGTTGTAGATGATAAACCCACAAAATGAGCTGGGCAGCCCAATCTTCACCTAGTTTTCCACCTGTGGGATGTTAAATGATCCTTGCTATCTCTGTCTTTCTTTCAGATGATGTTTTTATCAGGAAGTAAATACTGGTAAAGTACTAACAGAAGAAATAACTTTCCTGACAAATCTTTCAATCCATTCAGGCCACAGTTGACAATCTTTGGTCATTCCAGGATGGTTTATAAGTCACAAGGCTTTATACCACACTTAAGTTTATTTTCATATGTTTTCTTTCATAATAGGCTTTGAAATCAGGGACAGAAATTATTACATGGAAATTTTGGACAGCGTGTGTTTCTTATGTAACTTCAAGGAAATCAAAAGCATTAGCTGAATGATATTTTCTCTAGGCCAGATTCTTCTCTCATGTGTGCATAAGTAGTTCTGCACATGCACTTGAGAATGCAGCCAGAAATGTGAAGAAGGTATAATGGCATAACATTTTTACTAGTGCAGGTTGGAGAAAATAGTTTGCAGCAATTTGGCTTCGAAGAAGGTAGGTGAGAAAACCAAAACCAGATATACTTGAGCACACACAGCAGAAGCAAGCGAAGGTCAGCAATCTAAGGAACAAGGGTTGGCCCAAAGTCATCTGGAAAGCCTCCAGAGATTACTCTAGAAAAGACAGCACTGTGGGAAACAGAGGCATGCAAGAACATGTGGGAGGGACCTTCTTGCATATGGTCTAGTTTTACATATATCAAACGGTGTTCAGGAGACAGAAAGTGATATTTGAATAAGCAGTGTCAGGAATACATCCCTGGCAGTATTCAAGGCCATGTTGGATGGAACTTCGGGTAACATGGTCTAGTGTGAGGGGTCCCTGCCCTTAGCAGGGAGTTTGGAACTAGATAATCTTAAGGTCCTTTCCAACCCTAACTATTCTATGATTATATGAATTAGAGGTGTAAACTTTAGATGAGTTTAAACTTTACCTTATGATATGCAAGTTTCTGCATTATGACATTTCAGACCTGTTATTGCTCAGAAACTTCCCATTAGTACTTCTTTGGAGGAAGGATAATTTGGGCCACCCCCCAATGCTGATCATGCCTGCTATGCAAAAATGCACATATAGAAGCTATGTGAACTTGGGGGCATGTTTCTTTGGTAAGACACCAACGTTGTCACAGTCAAAGACAAACATACAGTAAGAATGAATGTAATACTTGCATCTTGCTATTGTGAGGCAATTTTTCCTGTTGATGAGGTGCATGTGTTTATATAAAATGAGTTTGCATATGTATTTAATCTTGGTGGGATATTTGTGTTTTTAAAGTCCTTATACTGAAGTCCTTATAGTAAAATAATGGATGACTGTAATGATCAAAAGTTGAAGGAGTAGGTCTAAATTAACAGGGCTAATTAATCAAATGCAATGTGAGAACTGATATCCCTCAGAGATGTAACTCTATCAGTACATTCTGATTGCCATTTTTACATATAAGAATATTTTCAATATATACTGAGCTGGTCTGTACCAAAGGATAAGAAACCTAAACCTGTACTACTTCAGCTGTCAGTCAGCATCCTTCTTTATGTAGCCTGCACTTTTAAGGCAAACAGTATCACTGGCCAAAATTTCCTGTCCTACCTTATATTTCATTCTTTTCTAATTGAGACAAGTTCTGAGCCAATCCCACTGACATATAATTTAACAATTTTGCTGAATTTAGTGAGCTTTCTTCTGATTTGCAAAAGTACAATTGAAAGCAGAGCTGTATTCATTGACCGTACTTATGTGTAACAGCTGCGCACACTATACTGCTGTATATCTGGTTCAGAGCAGGATCATCACACTCGGAAAATAATTCAGGCTGAATTTGCATCATGCACTAAATATGAAATCAGCACTAATTCATGGTTCTAAAAAAAAAGTTTTCCATTCTTATCTAGAGACTCAGCCGTCAGCATTATTCAGTGTGTTGTGAATCAATGAACTAAATCAGCCTCTAGCTGTGTGGATTAGAAAAGTCACTCTTTCCCAGAGGAAAATATTGCATACAAGTTTAGTGTAACAGCTTCCTGCTCCCTGATTTAGATCATAAGACATTAAAATACAGTAAAAATCTATAACCGAGACAACATTAGAAAGGCTCTGCTCCACAAATGAAACATCTGCGCCTTCATGGCTTATCATCTTAATTGCTTTGGTTAATTACTACTCATCAAAAAAAGATATGAAAGTGGGACATACAGAATAAGATGAGATATCAAGGGGCACATCTTGTGCATTTTTTCAGATTGGTCTGTATTCTAGCAGGCCACATTTCACATGGTTTCTGACAGGAGCCGTTCACGTCAAATACAATTACTCAAACCTGCAAGGCAACTGTGTAAATTGTTCTCTTGCAGCAGCAACCCATAGTGTTCCACTCCACCACCAATTACACATCTAACTTAAAAAATCACTGAAACTAGCAGAGGCTAAAAGAGAGGGTAATGGGCTGTTTTTCATAATTTTTCATCCTTTTCCCCCCCCCCCAAAAAAACAAAAAAAAAAAAAAAAAGCAATGGTAACACATTCTGGGACAATGCTGCAAAGAAGCCCAAACCATCCTGCTGTTTGTCAGAAGAATTGGTAGAAGTGAATCACTTCTTTTACTGTGCCAACAATCATAAAATTGACTTGTGTTACAATAAAAAGTTAAAGTGTAAGGGATCAGACACGTGAAGCTGCTCAAAATCTTGTGGTAAAGGCTAGACTTTAAAAGAGAGAGGTGCTTCTGAAGGTGACCAAGCTGGAAGCATTTGTAAACACAGTGGTGTACCACTTCAGTGCTGGGCCACTGTCCTTCAGTCTTACACAGAACAGACAACTCTGAAATGAAATTAAAATCTAAGATCTCCTCCCACACAGTGCCTATATGAAGATTCCAATTACAGTCAGCAGCACTTTTTAAAGATCAGGTACTTTTTTGCAAATAAACAAACCCGTTGACCAAATGAAATACTGACACTTTGTCTTTTTCCCATCCTGGTGGGACTCGGAGAAGCTCAGTCCCAGTGTACCCATCACTCTATTGAGTTCTTTTTTATATCATGATTTTACATTTAACAAGATTTCTGTAGACAGGCAATACTCATACCCCACAGCCACAGTGTGGTTCTTCAGGATGGTGAAGATAAATCTTTACCTTCTACATGTTTTATCTTTCTCTCTCTCTCTGCTTACATATATAAATATATGTAGTTGTTCTTTAAGCAAACAAACAGACAGAACCACCTAACAAACCACAAAATGGAAAACATTATTATTACTGGTGGAAGGAAAAGAAAAAGAAAGGATTGTGGGAAAACTGAATGAAATGTGAAGTTTTATAACATTTCTGTGTTAGAACAAATGCTTTCTCATCAGCTCTAGAATTGTGCCTGTAGGAGTCAATAAATCTCTGAGGATTATTGCAAAGTGAGAGATCAAAGATGTCCTGCCCCCCGCAGTAGATCTTTGGTAGTGCCTCTTTCCCTCAGACTATACAGCCATAATCTGGTGCTGCAGAGAAGGAATAAAAGCAATCACACATGGTATTCACCTGTGTCTTTCCAGTTGTACTGAAATTACCTATATGCACAAAATAATGTCGGTCATATCTGGCTTCTTAAACATGCAAATAGGCATCTTTCACGCCCCCCCCCCTCCCCCCCCTAAATTACATAACTACATATAAACCTATTTTGAGGCAACAAAGCCAGCATCAGTCAAATCTATATGACCTCCTGGTTTGCTGAAAACCTTCCCAGTCAGATACGAGGGAAGGCAGAAAAGCTATTTCATGAAGGACCACTCCATTGTATTGGTCTGGGAGAAGGAAAACTCTGGACCCTCAGACTGGGTCCCAGAAACTTGCCACCTATTGAAGAGCAGTCCTGAAGGTATTCTTTCCATGCACTGCTTTTATTTCATATACTCAGTTAATGACGGAAAACAGAAATCTTCAGGGGGAATTATCTCCCATATATTTTAGGGCCAGACCATTATAGACCAGGCAGACAAAATTGTAAGTTACCATAACAGCCCCCCCAATTTATTTTTCTGTATCAGTCCTTTTTTTTAGGAATTGGTTAATTTTTGTGTTCTCCAATAATGACAAAAGCTAAAAAGCAAAACTATAACTTGGGATGTTATCTTCTTTTGATTATAACGTAAACATAGATGTTACCTTCTTACATGCTGTGACAGAGCTTCCCAAACTGCTTGCCGAACTCTCTGTGCTGCTGCCTTGGTGCTCTGGAACTTCATGCATCAGCGGAGATTCAAAGTTGCTGAAGAATAAAAAAGAAACAGACACCCCAAAACCTTTCCAGTGACTCAGCTACATAGATACCTCAACTGATAGCAAAATGCAATTCAGTAAAGAGATGTGACTCAGGTTATAAGAACCTGTCTATACTCTCCTTGCTGATGTCACTAGCCTATTTATTACTTTATTTTATGTTTGGTTTTTTTTCATTTTGGCAGACTCTTCTGAGCTACTTGTACTTTGGATATAAAATAGCAGACCAATGTCTTTTGAAGATTAGAGGATAGCATACGGCTACCTATAATCATATTTGCCTCTCTTGAATGACACTGTAAAAAGTGGTACTAGCTTGTTTTTGTAAGCAGGCATCTTGGAGCAGCAAATGAAATACCCTTTGTATTAATTAGCTTGGTAGAAAAAAAGAAATATTTGCTGCATTTTTACCTGCCCGGATAGAGGTAGAGGGGTAGTAATTAAAATGTAAAAAACACAACAGGAGCGATTGAATTCTGTAATCTAGATAGAATAGCTTGATATATAGCAGGTTTGGAGCAAAGGTAAGTCATGCAAATTCTCTGTTTTGAGAATGAGTTACATACAACAGAGGTGACAATATTTGCTTTGGGACTGTGCAGATGTGAAATACAAAATCATAGAAACAAGTTCCCCCAGCCAAGTAATTTGCATGTACAGCTGGTACCACCCTTCACACTTATTTTGGAACAACTCAGGCTAGTCTTGGTAGATTTCCTTCCATGTAACAGTCTGCCCTGGGTTCAGCAGTAGCAGTCATTTTTCTCCTCCTTAGTAGCTGGTGCAGTGCTGTGGTTTTGACTTTTGGCCTGGGAACAGCACTGATAACAATGATGTTTTCAGTTGCTGCTCAGTAATGTTTAGTCTGACCAAGGACTTTCTGAGTCTCATGCTCTGCCAGGGAGGAGGGGAAGCTGGGAGGAAGCAGAGACAGGACAGCTGACGCAAACTAGCCAAAGAGGTATTCTATACCACAGTGCATCATGCCCACTATATAAACTGGGGGCAGTTACATGGAAGGGTTAGATCACTGCTCGGGTTGGGCTGCATATCGGTTGGCGGGTGGTGAGCGGTTGTATTCTCTTCCTTTGTTATTTCCCTTATCATTATTATTATTGGTGGTAGGAGCAGTGGTTTTGTGTTATACCTTAGTTACTGGACTGTTCTTAACCCGTGGGAGTTACATTCTTTCGATTCTCCTGCAAACTTTCTGAAGCTTTTCTTTCTGGACACGGTGTGATTACAGTTAAAGACAACTCAGTGCTAAAGGGATATTTCTCCAGAAATCTGCTAGGGAAAGAATGCCCTACACATTCAAGTTCTGCTTCCCAAATTGGGTCGCTAGAGTGCCTTTAATTTATTGCAAGCCATCTATGAGAAGATATGTAACACATTGTGATAGACCGTAAGAGCCAGCCATGGCTCAATAAATAGTCTTTCATCAGTTCCAACAGGCTAACAGACCATGTGCAATTTCCTTGTGTGCTCAATTAAAGAATAAAATACGTTTTCATAAGTCACCTTTGCTGGAGCTTAAGCCAATATGTTAAGAGAAGGCTGCTTCTACTTTTAGCCCCAATCCATCAATAAGGCTACCCTTCTCTTAAAGATTCTATATGTATATTTCACCTGATACTGCTTAGGACCAGTTACGAATATAGGACCAGCTGTGAATATAGGACCAGCTGTGAACTCTCACCTATAAGTAACTTTGTCAATAAGAATTTTGTTGATATATGTGGTTCTATTGTGTAATTATTACTTTTTTTAAAAAAGTAATATCTGTATGTGCTAGATCTAGAAGTGTGAATGAAGAACATAAAACTAACTTAGCACTTATTAATTGCTAATTGGGAAAAAGCTTCATAAATTGCTTGGGAGGATTGAATACAGATGCACAAGTGAGACATGTAGGTTAATTGACTTCACTTGAAAAATGTGTTAACACTTTCTAAGATACCAGCAACATTTGTATCTAAGAGGCAGACTGTTGCCTGTTTACAAAATTCTGCTGTAATGCTCATACTATGTAGATAAATGGTAACTTTTCTGGGCAGTAATTTTTTTGGCATTTGACAAAGCAAAATAGCATTTTATAGGCCTTATACAGAACTCTTTAACAAAATAAGGGACATTAAACATATGAAGATGTTCTGATTTTCTACGTTCATTACAAATAAACTGTCATATTCAGAGGGTCAGATATTGTATAAGTTAAGTGCTCTCCTTGGGAAGTACTAAGTACAACTCAGTACTCACAGAAGAAGCTGTGCACTGCCTCTTTTTATAAGATGCACCACTTCTGCAACCTAATAGTAAATTACAAATGGAGTCTGACCTGTAGGTTGAAGTACAAGAGCCATTGTTTTCTCCTGCTCTTCACTGAAAAACAGTGGTTTTGCCATCGCTTTGCCCTACAGGGAGTTGATATGCTGACAATGTCTATTGGCTCTCAGCTACACTGTGTGCAGGCAAAGGAACTTCTAGTGCATCAAGTGTTGCTGAGTCTAAAAGCACCAAAGATGATAGCATGGCCACTAACTGAAGGTCTTTTTTGGATCTTAATTAAGCAGTGCAAATAGAATATTTGTACATTAAAGCATAGCTGGAAAATACAGTTGAGAAGTGATGTTCTGGAGTATAAATAAATTTGTGCTATCTCTGGATGGTGCTTCAGTAAAGGGTAGCACATTATGTGTTCCATACAGAAGTAAAGTTGTCATCCTATTCACATGGAAAATGAAAAAGATCTTGAAAATCTTCTTAATCCTTCAAAATCTGTGTTGTTTCCAAAATAAGCCCACTTTTCACTTGTAAATACAGAAAAGTTTGTTAAAAGTGCATTATGAGTGAAATAAATGTTACACAGCCGAGTCTTCCATAACTCAGGAAGGTGCAGGATAGGTTCTGTCTAGATACCTTTAGATTAATGAGTCGGTCTTTCAACATAGAACACAGGGTTGACTTTGCAACATCTTTTTTTTTTTTTCAGTTATCCCAGATCAAGGTTTCTTTTTCTCTTTCTTTATCCCCTTCTAAGCTTTATTTTTCAAAACGTGTATGATTTTTCAAGAGACCCTCCTCAGGCCATACAGCTCTGCCACCTTCCCTCTGTAGCAAATCCACTAAGATAAACCTACTTTTCATTAACTCCCCAGAGAAAAACTATTCTGTCTTTGAGAAGCTGCCTGCCCTCATTAGTTTCTCAACAGCAGGAGGCTGAAAGAAACTGCTGTGGAGATGTAGTTATCTCATCATCAAATGATAGCTCTGTATTCACCTACTATGTTCATTACTTCATGCTAAGAGTTTATACAAAGCTCTAGCCATTTTGATACCTTTAAGGCATATGGCAAAGATCTGAGTCTTTTCACTATAAGTTAAAGCAAGCTGCTGAAGGCTTTAGGTCCTAATTCTCACCTTGCCTTGGCTTCCCTTGTTTGTTATGTGACAGAGAATGCTCATCTGACTTAGATGTCCTCATCTAATTTGGAACTATCACTGTAGGCCATGGGCATAAGAAGCAATCTCTGTTAAAGGATGGCTCATGTGAGAAATCCTAATTTACAATTTAGTTTTTGAAACTGAAGCTGGGAAACTGGACCTATGACCCAGTGTTAAAAGAATACAGCATTTTCACATTAATATGTCCTTTACCAGAAAAGTCTCCACAGCCTCTCTCTGTTTGCCACCAGGTGCTGCCTTACTGATTCATGAATTTGACCGATACTTTTTTCTTACAGAGCTAAATGCTCTCATGAAAAATACAAACTTTTTTTTTTTTTTTTAGTTAGAGGACGGTAGCAAATAGTTACACGGTTTATGGCACTAACTGCAATAATACATCCTTTATTATTGAACAAAATGCAAAACAATTGCTTCTATTTTCCTACTAAATAATTCAAAAATACTGACCTTGATGACTCAAGACTCAATTAAAAAAAAAGCCCAAAACACCACATCTTCTCCTAAAAATAATTATCTTCTTTGCAGATGTGGCAGATGGTGCTACATCAGCTAAGATAAAGCAGTTTGAAGAATTCCCCAGGTTATCCCTAAAGAAAATTAATCTTGTGAAGCAATATCAGAAACTTCAATTTCCTACCATCTTGCACAAGCATAACCAGCTTCCAAAAATTTGCTGTGCAATAATCTTTCCTAAGGAGCAATTTCAATAAATAATAAGTGACCATTACATATATTTTTTGAACCAATCTTATCATAGCCTAGTGCTTTTCATCTTTTCATTATGATTCCTAATCTCAGCATTTTGAACATATAAAACATATTGATCCATGAAAAAGATAATCTTGATGAAAGAAGCAAACTGAACGAACACCACAAGGTTTGTCAGTGCAGTTTACTCCAAGCTATAGTAGGCTACATCTGTAATGTTTTGCTAATATTTGTACTGAATACCATGAACAACAAAAAAGGCATGAATTTCATTTTGGAATAGAAATTTGAGAAAAGTGAAAGCATGGCAAAATACCCTAGCATATTCTTACATTTACACTCACAAATGTATCTGAAAGCTTCTCGAAAATTGAGGAAGGCAGCTAGGTTAATCCAGACCCTAAGCAAGCAGCAATTTTGAAAGGCATGCAGCATTCAAAGAGCATCCCTTAACTTCAAAGCCTTTTTGAAGTGGACAGACTAGTCACACTCTTTCTGCATGCTACCTTTCATATTTTACAATTTAAAGTTTCACCTTTACATGTAAACAGGTCAACAGTTACTAGCAGTAAAATCTTTGGATGTAGCAGTGTCAGAGTTACTATTTTAATCCATATAATAGTTTTTTATTCAGTCTGAACCATGTGTATACTTCCATCATAGCACAGATGGTTAGTCAAACAGAAATTCTATAAATACCTCAAACAAATGTCTTTCTTGTTATGGATTTAGGACCCTTATGCAGAATATAATCACTGGCAATATCAGGGTCTTATCTTGCAAGGTACTTCGCAGGGAACTGAAAATACTGAA